GTTAACTGTTAAATAGTTAAATTACAACATACAACATTGAATAAAAGAAATATGTTCATATACAGAAGAAGAACACATCAATCGAATTTTCTATTTTTACAGAAGAAAATTCTGACTAATCAAGTAATACAATTAAAATATGAATTTTATATTAGTTAAATATTTTGTGATATTGTGATTTTATGGTATCATTTTAATAATATCATTTATTTAGTACTTTTTAATGATATTTGAAAATGCGAAAATATAATAATTGTAGTTATACATACCTACGATCCAAGGCAAATCATCTTGGTACTCCATTGTTCTGATATTTTCACTCGAACTTTCACGTTCAGCTTCGGCGAGTCTGTTTTCGTGAAAGGTATGTTGAATGGCATAAAGAATTTCTAATCCATCCAATTTAGCATTATTGTCGATATCATGAATTCTACGATTAATACAGCTGTTACAATCTTTTCAATTGATAAAATTACCATTGTGAATTTACCATAGATAACGTCGATCATTTTTATATTTATAATTATTTATAAAACGTGTCGAAGTTTATGTACCATAATCATTGATGAAAATTAAGGAACAAAGAACTTTGATGTACAAGCATACATAATTACTTTGTATGGTGAGATATGTAAAAAAAAAAAAAAAATAAATGCATTACGAAAATATTCGAATATATATCTACACTAATTTGCAAGTGTATGTGTTTGTTAAAAATGATTTACTTAGCACTGAAAAGTAAATATTTTATTAATATTACAGACGTACTTAAAGTAGTGAAATTCAATTTCCTGTTCAGTCATATTTGAAAAGTCCAATTGCTCTGCCATTGAGCCTATGTCTTCTTTTAAGTGGCTGAAATTTTATATTTATATTTGCACATTTTTCAACATTAATAACTAAAATACTAAAGTACAAAAGCAATGCAGATATGTACAAGACAAATAATACTGTAAATTCAGAAAACAATTGACAACAAAAAATAATATTTATTACTGGAGTGTTGAATACATAAATATTTTTATGTATTCTTTGATTTACAATTAAAACGAGATTTGAAGAACAACCGAAAAAATGATAATTCTATATGGGAAAAAAAAACTATGTAATATTCAAGTATAAATATAACTGAAGATGATATAATATTTCTGAGATATTATGTAAGTTTTTAAAAATACTTTGAATATCCATATAATGAGAGACTTGGCTATTTACAACTATTCTGTATAAATAATTCAAATAATATAAATTCAAACACATCATTATTTTTAAAAATGTTTTTTTATTAGTTTTTAGAATTCTAGATTTTCTCTAAAAATGATTATTATATTAAACGTTGTTTAACTATCTAAGTCAGAAAGTTGCGCATAATAACTTCTCTGTTATGGAATATTCTCAATAAAAATAAATAATAATATATATTATTTATTTAGTTTTAACAATTATAGAAATGAATTATAGAACTAATTTTTAATGGCATAATCTAATTATACACGCGGATACATTTGATCTTGAATCTTCTGCTAAATTTGATAACAAGTATTTATAAACAAAATGTTCAAAATTTTTCTAAATATAAATCAATTATAGAGCATTTTTTTTTTTTTGCAAAATGTACGTAGGTATATAAAAAAATAATTAACGTAAAAAGAGATCGTTAAAACGAACTTTCTAACGAGATCAAGGCGCATCGAGATTAAATTCAAAGTTGTTGGAAGTTCGAAGCTGGAATGAAAAATAAATAATAAGGTGAAACAACGAGCACATACTTAAATAAAACTGATATGATACTCGTGTAAATGAGTTAAGTATTAACTAACGTAGCATCCTGTAGTAGTTCCGCATCTTGTGTTATTTTAACATCTTTCTGCGGGGCGTAATGATGGTGAGAGACGGGACTTCGTGGATGATGAGGTCCACGTAAACCATCAGAAAATCCCATGCATAAACCGATCAGAATTGTAGTTATCATTTGTTCGTCTGAAACAGTTCAAAAACTGATGATTCTCTCGTAATCATTGCAGGGAGACATTTCTTTTATTGAGAAATTGGAATCTTCGTGAAGAAATTATTTTCTACTATATTATACATCTAATGGTACATAAATTATATAATTAATTATAAATGAAGAATATAAATATTATCGTCGTTATATTTTTTTTGTTCAATTTCACTCATCTACTCGTGTAGATGTCTTCAATTTCGTGACAAAATTTCGTTCAATCTTTTCTTCCCTATTTACAACAGAGTTGGACAAGTTTCTATCTGAAATAACGAATCATTTCAAATACCTTATTAATTCTGTTCCAAAAATAACGTAGAAAAGGTGACATTTCGAATTTCAAGTGTTGTTTCAATTTCAGTAGAATCAGAACGTTTATTCAAATAAAAATTCATATATTTCATTCAATACCTAAGATAACAAAATAAGAGAGCATAATAATTGCAGTGAGATAATTATTCCCACGTACAACTGGATGAGACAATGTCTGACAGTAAATCATTGCAAACAATAAAAATTTGAAGCAACGCGTGAAAACTGAGACAAAAAACTCAGCCGACGCTGCGTGATATTTTTTTTTCAATGGCCAGCGACAATAGGACCTGCTGAGACATGGCGATCGTCTATGTTGCCGTGACACTGCACACTGCCACTTGTAGGGGCTGAACACCCCGTTGGCTAGCGACAGATGGGCGGTAGAGGGGGTTCTAGTAATTATTATGCGATTACCCACAAGCCCATTGATTTAGATTGGACCCCGGGGGGTGTAGCGCACGATGCTCTGGGCCCGTCTTCAAATTTGCTACACATCACTCGTCAGGAACTTTGCGATCGGTGAAACCCCTATGAAACATGTACATTGACAGTGTCTACACATGGATTCCGTCTCTCTCTCTTTCCGTCTAATTCAGTCTCCGACACTCGGATGAAGTATAATTCGACTAAAGTAACACTTGTCTAATGATGTAGAATATAACTTTCGTATAGTTTTTTTTAGTTTTAAACACTGAGAATCTATACGTTCAATTGAAGTCTAACACTGTTACACTATTGTTTTTTTCTTCAATTTGCCAAAATAAGTGTGTAGAAATATAATAAACGATTAGAAAAGAACCTGATTTAAAATGAAGATGTGATTTTTGTTAAATCAATGTAACAATCGACCAAGAACAGACTCTGTTGTGTTAAAATATTATCGAAATGTTGTAAGTGAAATATTCATTTGGTTGACATTAGAACCACTAAAGTGATTAAAATGATTAATTCGTAACTTTCTAGAGAAATTTCACCACAAACTTACAACCGTATGTTTTCGAAGATTTGAACTTTACTTTACGTAAAATATAACTAAATCAAACTAACACAATAAAGAACAAAATTATAATCTTTTCTCTATTCCTTGCACACTGATTTCTCCAACATACTTTAATTGTCAATAGTTTTAGTTTCTGTTTCAGTTCCCGACGCGCTACAAACGTTTTTAACGAGAGTACACATTATTTTCCGATCGAAAGCAAATTTTTCAATGAAAAATTTGAATGAAGCTAGTGGAAAATTTCTACAATCTGGAAGTATAATTCCATCGTTCAGGTAGTAACTATACTGTCAGTCTACTTTCGAACAGTCTACTTGTCAACAGGAAGAGAAGAGCAAACAAAAAGTGTCGTCGTGTTCTAGTCATGTTTGCGCTTGAATTGAACATTCGAAGATTTGTGTGGAGAACAAACAAATGTGTGAGATAGGTGTTAAAAGACAAGCGAGATTGACAGGAATCCAGGGTACTTAGGAATCAATTTTATATAAGCTTACGGTGGTCGAGTGAAAATGCATATGTTGAGGGGGCTCAAGGGGCTTTTGATGCAAGTGGACCCCCCTCGGGGGTATACACCCCAGTTGGAACAGAACACCCTTGGATTCCCTCCCCGCGCTTTGGTGTCGAAATCTATAAATAATTTATATCATTTGGTCCATTCACTGAAAGAGCCCATATGTACCTGTGTCGCCTTACAGGGGACCTGTGACCGCTCGTAGATTTTTTTCCGCAGAATATCGCTCGGATCAAGAATCTGGATCGAGAGTATGCGCGTACTATTTATTCAGACACAGCGTATCATTATATTCGCACACAAGTAACATGTATATACTATTGAGAACGTCTACTGTATCGAATATTAAATCGAGGAATTTTTATGTATTTGTAGAAAATTTAAAGGTATAAAATCGTGCAGTATGCGACAACATACGAAAAACGCATGAAAGTATTTCTGCTGCTTTTTTAATTGTGTTAACATCATTAGAAAATAATAATAAAATAACGATTAATCGTTAGAAATGATTGCAATGATAATAAAGTAACATGAAGATACTCTTGTTTAAAATTTATTAGTTCGAAAGCATATTTCAAGTTCAATTTTATCACACGAAAGACGAGAAAAGACACAAAATAATGTTCTCCCTTTCAGAACAATTTTCTCACAGATAAGTTGAACAAAATTACATCTACATTCGAAGATTTGTGTATTCTCACTGTGGAAAAATATCCATGATCCACGAATACGAAAATGAATGAAAGATGATCTTGTTGAATAGCGAAATATCAAATAAAACTTTGTTCTTCACGTAAAGCAACAAAAGGTACAACGACAGACGATAGGAAAGAAACTGTAAATAAAATAATTGCTTTTAAAAATTATTTTCAAAAATGAAACTTTTCAAGGGTAGTATATACCCTTTCGAACAATCCGCTCTCTCTCTCTCTCTCTATCTCTCGATCCTCAGCATCCGTGACTATCGAAACGCGAAATCTCGAAGGAAGTTACAACCAACCCCCTATTTTGCCTCGGATTAGGTTATTCTAACCTAACCTTAACTCCAGACGAGGCTGAATGAACCCCTTGCTCAACTTGAATCGTACGAATTCAATACGTCTAGTTAAATTAATGAGCAGAACGTACTATGGTTCCTCTTTACCTGGATCTAACGTGGACGATCTGTCGGTTATTGTTCTACGAACGAAGATCGAACTTCCGTTCGTTATATATATATATATATATATATATATATTTTTTTTTTTCCCCCTAATTGGACGATCTTTCCGACAATGTTTTCAACTGGGCTGCTCTCACTTCCGTAAAACGCGTGACATTTATCGACGTTCTTCGACGGAGTTTGCGTATTCGAGGAGTTGCTCGCACGTCGTTCCTCCGCGGAGCGGGATAATTTGCTTTCGAATTTCGCATCTCGGGAACGGGGTGAAGTATCTCTCGGAAGTATATCCGTGCACATTAAGGTCTACCTTCGTAACGTTGCGCTTGCTGATGTATGAAATTTTATAGATAGAAATTGATAAACGTTCATGTAGAATAATAAAGCAAAACTGGCTGCAGTAGTAAGAAGGAAACAGAATAACAAAGTAGTAGGAAGACTTCTCTTCGGCAAAGATTTTGAAAAACTCGGTGAGTGCCTGAGGGGTTAAAAATCGGAGGAAGATATTCGAATACTTTGGTTTGATTTGTATCTGGCAATCGTATTTGAATTTAACCAAATTGCCCAAGTTTTAACCAAATTGAAAAAAATTTAAATTTGAATTTACATTGTAATTATATTTATATTTAATAATATAATAATATTATAGTATAATAATATAATACTTTATGTTATATGATATGACCAATATACAAATTTCAATTGGAAGTAGCACCTGCTGTATCTTTTTCTGGAATAAGCAGATTATAAATTTAAATTATTAAAAGACACAGCAATAGTCCTTTATTACATAGTTCATATTATTGTATTACTACATTGAGGTCTAAAATGTAATTGTATTGAATAAAATAATTTCCAGTGTACAGAATAGTAGAATACATAAATTAGAAATACACAACAAAATTTCAGGATAAAAATAATTTACTATGGTGCTATAAATATTTGAATTCTTTTAAATTTTATCAATAATTAGATAGTAAATGAATCTAGACAGAAAAGAGGAATATTTAAATAAATCCTTGAAATTTCTTTTCATAACCATAATTTATAGTAGAGTCCACGTATTTTAATAAATTATCTTGTAATTTAAACTTCTGATTTAAATCTAGATATTCGATATATATTTAATATATATATATATATTTTTTTTTTTTTGAGAAAATGCATGTTGAAAAATATTTTCGAATTATTTCATTGTCAGTATATACTTTACATTGCGTTAGCTGCACTTTGCTATATTAAATTTCATTATATCGCAGTTTACTATGATGGTTCATTTTTTACCCCCAAAATTGTGAGATACGCCGAGTAGTCCATCAAGATAAAAAATTGGCCGAAAATGAAGGTATAGACTTTTCTTATTCCTTTTTTTTTTTTTTTTTTTTTTTTTTCAAATATCCTGTTATTCTATCAAATTTCCAATAATAAAGTAGCAAAATGCTGATATTTCGTTGGTGAAGTATAATGCAATTTTACGTTTCTAATAAATATCCTGCAAGACTTTTATTTAATTAGAAAACTACCGCGTATATATAGTTACTACAAAATTATTATATTACTGTAAAATTGAATTCTTCGAAGTATGTCACATACCAAATATACAGGCTGAACCACGAAGCCTAATCAGTTTGAATTCACTACATTCGAGTGAATCGAAAATCGTTTTATTCGATAGATGCTACAAATAAAACCGCAGCTCATTGTTTCGTGTTGACGAATATTTCAAAATGGCATTTTCGCTCCTTTTCGCCATCGTCAAAAGTTTCCGCATTTTTTCCAAATACTTCCATGACCCACTGCATTTAAAAAAAAAAAAAAAGAAAAATTTAGATTCGAGCGCAGCGATAGATAAACGCCAAGTCAATTTCGAGGGCAATTATCGAAAGGTCAAAGGATCGATACAAAAGAGGAACATGCTTAAAAAAG